CGTCTCAACTCTCGGCATTGCCGGTGAGCGCGATCATAGGACGCGGTGCAGCGAATCAGTGTGTCAGAGAGAGCTAACACCACAGCTTTCTTCATACGTGCAACAAAGACACGCATTACGATATTGTTATAATATTGTAGGGAGTATAGGGGAATGGGGGATTTATGGGTTTGGTTGGGTTGGGAAACAATATGAATAGGAAAAATATTAATAATAATTTTTTTTACAAGTATAAAAAACAATATTATCATTACCCAATCAAAATATTTATTTCACAATGCATTTTCTCTCAGACAAACACTGGCAAAAAAGGAAAAAAAAAAGTCACATAAAAGATATAAAAATTCCATTTATTTATTTATTAATTATTACCAAATATGGAATCTATTTTTAGGGAATCCAATTAAAGTCAGTAAAAAAATAATAACAACAAGATTTCTTTTTTAAAACAAAGCATCAGGCTCAATTCAAAATTTTGTAGTAAACGGCCAATTCCACATGTTTTGGTGTTTTCATTCCAAATAATACAAATAAAAAGTCTTGACAAATATCCAAAACCTTTTCTTCAAGCTTCTCTTCCAACAGAACTTTTCAATCTTGGTCAAAAATTTACTTCTTTTTCACTAGTTTCTCAGTAAGTATCCACGAAAAAGGTTGCATAATGACTTTGGTATGATATTAGGATGCACATTTTTCAGTAATTATTGTCAAAGTGTCTTGCTGCACACAATTTGCAATAATCCGCCCTTAAATATTAAACATTTGATTGTTGTTCATAAGGAGAATGGCATTCATTGAAAAATGTGGCGGCAGCGTCAGAATTTGAAGAACTTGAATTCCTTACAGCGTCTTATTTATTGATAATTACTTTAGTAGAGCAAAGATAACTTGAAAGTTTTCCATTTCGGATAACAACCATAATTGTTCTCTTAAAAGGACTTTGCAGGTTATTGATAATCTCTTCTGACGATGGATATTGTGCAGTTCACTCAACCTTCCAGAACTTTGCTTCCTTGCTTCCCTATGTAGGATGATTTCTATTGTGTAGACCCTATTTTCTATAAATAGGGCATTTTCTATATAAAATTGAATTTTAATAAAAATAGTTCCAAACGAAAGTACTTCAGATTCTTGTAGGGGATTTACTTCTGATTTTGATTTTTGGAATAGTTTCAAGAAACACAGACTATGATACCATTGATGTGCACATTCGTGAGCAATCATGTCAATACAATTATTACCAAATCCTTGAATTCAATGCAAAAGTTGATGGTTGTTTTTGCCATGTTCCATATTTCATTTTGCTTATCAAATGTCAGTATTTGCTTGAGTCTTCTCAAACCCCTACTATCGCGACTTTTATTGCATATTATGCAAATCTTTGAATAAGAGGATTTAATTCGCTTACTAGTACAATATGTTGAAGCACCTTCTTCTGGTTCAGGTCTTTTCTTGTAGGCTTTCCTGGTATAAGCTCGTCTACATTTAGAATTTAGGGTGATAAACATCAGAATTTATTGATAAAAACAGTTCTCTTTTGTCAGCATAGTATCTAACGGCCAATTTCATAATAGAGAATTAAAAGTTACTTTAGCTAAATAGACTTTTAGGATAGGATTTTTCAACTTCAAATGAAAAGTTTACTTTAAGTTGATTATAAAATTGGCCGTAAGAGCTATGGAATAACGATCGCCTTTCTCAATGACAATACAATACATGCTTGAAACAGGAAATATAGGTACGGCTTCTTTTGTGACACTCTGTACCGTTTCCTAATTATTTGATTGACACAAAATACACTCGTTGAAATTGACATTTTGACTTATGATAGGTAGGTACTTCATGTCTTTTACAATAACAAACATAAGCGGGTGAAAAACAAAATGAAATACAAAAGGAACGCTTCTGCCATCGGCGTCGTCGCGTTATCTTTGTTGCGCATATGAAGAGGCCGTGGTATTAACTCTCTTTGACACACTGATCACTTTATCCGCTGCACCGCGTTTTGAGACCGCGCTCACCGGCAATGCCGAGAGTTGAGACGCGGCGATTCAATTTTCTTCGGTTTTTAAAAAAGAATACACCTCAAACTAAACGTCGTATGGAAAAAAAGTTTTAGTAAAAAAGTTTCTTTACTCTATTGGCAAAATTTTTCTCGCTTATACTAGGTATCTATCTCTAAAGATAAAAAAGTTTTCTCGACTCACCATTTAACGCTGCAAAATGACGATATTTTGTGTCATCTGGCGAAAAAAAAATTACGTAGCTTTTATGTGACGTTCTATGTTTTTTATTGTTATGAAACTATGTCAGGGAAGTACTGAAAAATATCATATCCAAAATTCATAACAATCGGACATCAATTAACAAAGTTATGCACTAGTTTTCAAAAAAAAATTATTTCAATGGAAATTTTCAGTTTTTTCAAAAATGTCCTGTTTTGACACATTTCGCGATTCCGGATCAAAGGGCGAACAAGAAATTTGAATCCGGCCGGTCATTTTACATAGGATTTCATGTTTTTTAGGTGGATGTTCGCGACTTGTATAGAGCATTTCTAAAAGGCTTCCTAGGAGGCGTCAGATTCCCAACTAATAGGGGACTACTAGCTTTTATAAACCTAGCAGTCCCTTAGTTTTTTTTTGATTTTCTCAAAAACTAGAGGAGCACCTAATTTTTAATTAGAGGCCCTAATTAGCACCTAAAAAGCACCTAATTATTATTGTCCGTCGATTTTTATCTGATACTCGGACGGAATGTGAGCTGGTGGCTCCCTACATTAGAACGCCAATGGTTACCTGACGTCACACCTGTTTTTGCCATATGAAACACCCCCTCGCTCCTCATACCGCAAGTATCAGTTAAAAATCGACGAACAATACATATACATATAGTTCCCGAAGTTTTTTTCCACCTTGGGACTGCTAGGTTTATAGACCTGAGATCTTGGACGCTGATTGGCTAGCTTTTGGAGCCTTACTAGGGCCTTGGGTTAATAGTTTAAATGGAGCACTGGTCGCCTAAGTCGACCCCCTAATTTTGGTCAATCAGCGTTCAAAATTTCAGATCACGCACTCGAAAAAGTCTTTCAATCAATCAATCAAAATAAGCTTTAATGTCGACAGAAAACCAAAAAGAGAAAAGTTCTATTGACAAAGCAAAAAATACTTAGAGCTAGATTATGTCTAAGATTACAAGGAAAATATTTCAGTCTCTGTTTTCCAAAAAGTTTGTGAAATTATGAAATACTGCTTTGTTTGAGCATTACTTCAGTTTTTATCAAATTGTTCTTTATTTTATAGATAAGTTTCACCTGCTCAAACCTTTTCAGATAATCCAACTTCAAGAATGGATAGTCTCTATGATGAGCTTACCATCGGGTTTTATAACTTAGGCAAAATATTTCTTTTTTCTATGACCATCAAAAAATATACACTTTCGTCATATTTTACTTTAGCTGAAAACGTCATTTTCGTCACCAGTGGTAGAATATCCCATAACGTTAACATTCGTCCACTCGACGAAAGTGAATGATTAGGATTTTACATGCTAAATACATTCTATCAAATTCAATTATAATTTAATTCTGTGAAGCACAATGAAAAAATATAGTTCATCACAAGAATATGTAAATTTTATAAAATAATTGCAAAAACAAGAACTTTTGATAGATGGCGCCTTGATTCAATCACGTTTTCAAGCGCTACCTATCAAACCAAGGCACCCTTGTGAAAACATATTAGTTTGAACTAACAGCAAAAACCAAAACAGTCATAGAAAAAGTAGGTATAGTACCTACTCGGCGTCGCCTCGTTTGGTAAAATGTTTACACGTAGCAAAAAATGCTGTTTTCGTCACTCGTTAAACAATATACTATTATTGACTTGTTTTAGTCTTTGAATTTTACTTAAGTCACTCACATTGACATTTCCATAGCAAGGTAGCAAGTATCTGATATGTGGTTCGATAAAGCCGTTATACAACATATATTTTGAGTTTTTATAACATTATTAACATATACATATATAATTGCACCGTTTATTTGCTCCCACCATTGGCGCTACTTTTTCGATGATGTTATTGACATGCGCGGTCCACGTTAGTTTATCCGATATTGTTAGGCCTAAGTATTTGTATTACTAGACTCTTTCTAGAACAACATTATTCAATTTAATTACTGGATTTATATGTTTCTTTCCACATTGTTTCAAATGATATGAACAGTCTTTTCGGTGTTGATAGTTAGCATAGCACAGCCAATCAAAGTATCTATCCAAATCGCTATTTACAAGTTCTTCAAGTTCATTTTTGTTTTTTGCAGAAAAAAACCAATACGGTGTCATCGCATCGCAGAACTTTAAATATCTTGCCTTTAATCCAGCATATTTTAAGCTTTGCACCATAAAGCAGATATCGCAAGGGTCCCAAGACCGAACACTGGGCAATTCCTAAACTAACTTTTGCGTTGTCTTCCTGTTGAATATGTCTCTAGCAATTTATGACACTTTCCATGAAAGCCCATTTTCTGTAGTTTTTATATGAGTAATGGAATGTCCACAGTGTCGAAGGTCTTCTGTAAGTCAATAAACAGTTATAACATATTTTTTCTTGTCCAACTCGGCTGATACATATTCAAGAAGATCAACTGTCGCTCCAAGTGTGCTGCTTTTTTTTCTGGAAGCCATATTGGTTCTGGTCAAACTTGAATTTTGTGTCAATGAATTCTGTTAAGTCTTTTTTTGATAACTTTTTCCAATATGTTACTGAAGGTGCTCAGTTTTAGTTTCAGGTTTATAATAATTCCATTTTGTACAATGTATGGATTCACGAAATGGAGAGTGGTCGACAGCCAATAAATAATTTAATAAAAAAATGTAAAGAAAATCAGTGCAGTTATTATTTCACAAAAAATGCTTCCATCCTAATTATTCTGCTGAATTACATGAAGTGAGATTTAGCAAACCACAAGGTTGACGAGTCCAAATTAAACAATAAAAATTAAAAAATGTATACTTTATTAATAAAAAGTTTGATCCACAATATGTTTAAACAATTATTCAACTGTACATGCAAAATTTCAATCAATTATTATACATATTACCCTAAAATTCCAAGTACTTAAAACAAATATACATAATGTACTATTAAGAAGAGTCAAAAAAACATTCTTAATATTACAGAAAACAATTTTGTCAAATAAAGGACCGATCAGGTGATGTCATTTCTGTTACTCTTGCTGTTGTTGTAGTTTTGGCTGCAAAAAGATAGGTTTCCGATATTTATTTTCTGTAAGTCCTTTTCTAAAGCTAAATCCATCTCTGCGGTCGTGTATTCTCATATGCCTGATCAGTTTATCTTTACGCCCGAAACTTTTCGTACATTTCGTACACTTAAACGGTTTCACGCCAGTGTGAGTTACGACGTGCCGGTCCAGCTCTCGTTTCCTTATAAACGATTTGTTGCAGACGTGACATGGAAATGGTCGAATTCCTTTAACAAATGGAGATTTAGAATAGAAAACAAAATAAATAGAAATTAACAGAAGGAAATTAATTAACAATAAATGTGGCATCCTAGCAATTTTGTCGTTTTTGTTTGAATTTTGAACCAAAAATATGGCTAAAAAAGGATCTGTATGGAATGATCTTGGTAATGCAGTGGTTTTTTCATTTGAGCTTGCATTTTAAGACTACTTAAAATTGATTTTGGGATTTTGATTGAAAAGATGGAGAAAATATCGTTTGAATACAATTCCACACTCGTTTTAGCCATTTTTTGTTGATGATCCAAGAGAAAAAGCCAAAAGGCCCTTTTGGGACAAATTTAGATCATTTTGTGGTTCTTGAATGGAATTTTGAACCAAAAAAACAACTACGAAAGGATATTAGCTGCAATTTAGGTTCTTTTTTTGTTAAACACGTTTGTACTTGTGACATATCTCGTAAATGTTGTTGAAATGCAATTTTAACCATTTTGGATATTTAGGGTCAATACTTATGATCTCGATTAACAAATCTGACACGTCTTAAATTTAACAAAGCTTTTCATGGGCCAAGGTCTGTGAGTATGATGTGGTTAGAGCACATTCAAACCCCTGATTGTTTTTAAGGGCTGTAAAATTATAAAACTGAGAACAAAAGTACAGGCCGAGGTACAGGCACTTAGTCCACCACACCTATAAGCTATGGCAGACTAAATATCAAGGACGACTCAACCGCTTTGGATGACTTTTAGTTAAAAAACAACTTAATGTCAAATTGCAACAACAGCAATTGCCACTTGCTATGGTTTTGATGTAATTCTAAACCAAAAATACATTTACGAAAGAATTTGTATGACTATTAGCCCCAATTTAGATAGTAAAATATGGCAAGTTATACTAATATAGTACTCAGTTGAAAAAATAATAATGAAACACAAATTATATGTACCTGTGTGCCGGGCCATGTGGTATTTCAAGTTATCAAGACTAACAAATCGTTTCGTACACAAAGTACATTTATAAACTCGGGATGATGAACTTTTGGAATCAATTAGGGCCTCTGCAGTGTCTTCCGCGATATGGTGTTCAGTCAAATCCGGAGTCAAATCCGGAGTCAAATCCGGAGTCAAATCTGGGGTCAAATCAGTATTTTCATCATCCTCCTAGAATACAATTACAATAATAAATTAGATTATTCAAATAATTAGGGTGCATCCGAACAAAGCCGCACTATCTGCTACGTTTTTGTTTAGTTCGGTTCGAATATTTTGTTCTAGAAAAATAAAGCAATACAAGATGTCCCACTGAAAAACAGTATTTTTTTTTAAGACAATCCAATAATTGTTTTCCCAAGTTTAACATTTTATTCAGTGAAAGCAAAACAACTTGTAGCTTTGGTGATAATGGAATTACCAATAGTGCAGACTTGATCAGAAGCAATCGGAATTTTGAAAAGTTAAATTCGTTTTCCATGCACACTTACCGTAAACGATGTATTGTTTGAATACCCGACACTATCATTTGCCTCATTGTTTGAATTATTATCCACATTATCAGTTGCCTCCATTTCTTTAGATTCATTTTCCAGTAGAGTCACTGGTTGTAGGCTCTCATTGTGACCAAACGGATCTAAGGCTATTACCTATAAAAAGTTAAGTTAAGTAACGCTGAACAATAATTAATTATTAATTAATAACTACCATATCTTCTGCTGACTGTAGTCCCTGTTTCTCTGGGTCATCTTCAGATTCACCAGTAATAGAACTTGCTTTATAAATGTCATCCCTCATAAGTTGCAGTTCCTCGGCTTTGTCTTCAGAATTTTCTTGGGGCCAATGCCTTTTCTCGTGACGAATGAGTTTGTCTTTTCGGCCGAAAGACAGATGGCAATAGTTACATCTGAAATAAGTTATCTTTCATTTAATAATAATGCAATGTGAATAATAAGACTTTTATCACTAGAGTGTCATAAAAACATTCAAAAAAAAGTTATAAACATCACTCACCTAAAAGGTCTTTGCCCAGTATGTATGATAGCATGCCTAGTTAGATCTGCTTTAGAAGTGAAGGTTCTAGGACATTTTGGACACACAAAAGGTTTAGTACCTGAATGTATCCTCATATGTTTAGATAGATTTGTGTTTCGTGAAAATGACTTCAAGCAAACTGTACAAGTGAATGGTTTAACCCCTAAAAAATATCAATTTTAGTAGGTACATTTTTCATGTGGAAATAATTCAAATACATACCTGTGTGTACTATTGTATGTTTTCTAAGATCAGATCGCCTAGCGAATGTCCTATCGCACTGCGGACAATTATAAGGCTTGTCGTTTTTATGTACATTTTTCATATGTGCAGAATAAACTAGTCTATCAGCAAAATTCATCACACACGTTACACAATTATAGGGGCATTCAATATTATGAGCTGTTACTTCATGTTCGTCACATTCCTCCTGAAACATTTATATTTTTTTTAAGATTATTGCAATATTTTTTCAAAAGACAAAAATACTTAAAAATGTCTTCTGAACTGCAGGACGTTGGGAGTAACTGGTCTTAAAAAGACGCCTCAGAAAAAATTCTTACCTTATTAGTAAATGCATAATCACAAAATTTGCACATAGAAACATTTTTGTTCTCTAGCTCATTGATTTCACCGTCACTCATAGCTTTTTCATCAGACTCATAATTTGATTCATAATCTAAAGCATTTGGATCCACAACCTAGAATTTTAATTCAGTTATAATTTTTTTTTTCAACTATGTAAAAAATCTTACCATTACAACATTTTCATCATCCCCATTTACTATTTGGTCAATAGGGGGTACTTGTGATCCGCCACCATGTTCCTGATGGTCCTTTGAAATACCAGCTAATTGACGTAATGTGGCGTCAGATAAAAAGCACAACTGGCGAAATTCTAGGCAAAATTCAATTTTGTACAAACATCTATGGCATATAACATTAGGTAGACCATCTCCTTGGCATACCTTTAAAAAAATTGGATGTTTTACACTCGGTTTTACATTATAAAGTAATGTGAAAACTTTGGATTAATTTTCTTCGCTATTCCATCCACAGACGCGTTTAGACCTATCAGGTCTCGTCAGTGTGGTTAGGAAAACAAAGCAAAGAAAACCAATCCAGGTTTAGTGCCTGCAGGCGAAGTAGAAGAAATATGACGAGCAAAATTTGATCGTTGCGCAATCTAAGACTAGGATTCAACACTAAACTACACTTTTGCTGTAAAAGTACTGACCATCTAATAGGCCGACCAAAAATCAGTTAGTTGGGAAAATCCAAAATAGGGAAAACAAGTTTTCTCCTATTATCCACTGATGTGAAAATTTTCACCAAACTTGAATTGGTTTTCTTCGCATATTCAAGAGATTTACATCCACTTATAGAATAAGAAACACTAAACCATAAATTTCATACATGACATCATGGCAATGATGACGATAAATCATCAGCAGCAGTTCTAGCCCCGTTAAGCTCATGAAGACTAAAAATTCTCATCCATTTTTTTGTGATATGGAAGATAGCATTTGACCATATAGAGGATATAATGATTGTCCCTTGGAGTATCCCAAATAAATGAATCTCAGAGACAGATGTTAAATCTTGGTTGTTATTACAGAAAAGACTCATGTTTGGACAAAAATTCAAATCACCAATTTGGTTACAATTGTTGTGTTGAAAGGAGCCATAAATCCAACAAGGAACTCTTGGAGGAACCTAATAAAAAAAATCCAAATGCTTTAGTTAGCAATGAGTGGGCATATACCATATACATATTAAATAACATCCCCAGAAAAACAGTAGTAGGTACTGTACCTAGGTAGTGAATGTTGAGGTTGAGAGGAATACGAATTTATTGTCAAGCATTGGGACACTAAATCGTTTTGGTATCTTTCCATGCAGTTCATTTATAATCGACCAATACTCCTTAACTGAGTTTTTTGCGTTGTCTACTTGTTGTTTTTTTGCTGTCCAAATATTTTGTAAATTTTTTGATATGACCGAAAGTAAATGTTGAACCAATCTTAGTTTAAGAATTTCTTCATAGTATGCAAAGAGTGAAGATTTTTTCCTGATACTCTCAAAATATGTTCTACGGTTTTCTGGACAGTTTTAATCGGTTCATTGGAAAGTGGTATGTTTATGTTTCCCCAAACTTGCAGTTAACCTGCAACTATTGTTTGATAACCAGTGCAGTTTACAGGTTACCACCAATTGTGGAACTGGGCCTAACTTGGACACACCATGTCTGTGACAGTTATTGTAGAAATCGAGAAAATAAAATGCATAGAAAAGTGATTTATAATAGTAGATTATACCACGAGTCAATAATGATAGCTATTATTCCTGAGGAATATTTACAAACTGAGTCGCGTTAGCGGCGAATGAGTAAGATTCCAATAGCTAACTAAATAAACTAAAATAACCTAACACCAGTCCTAAGGTTTGTGACTGAGACTTTATTCACCTCAGTATGTCAACTATGTCATACTACTCTTGTGTCAAACCGACTTGTCATGCATGTCATTGTCACTGCTCGAATCACTGCTAGTGCTGCAGAAGCTTCATGTCATAGAGAAATATAATAAACCAAGGTAAGAGTTACCGATTCATATGTGCGAAGTGGCAACGTATTTCTGGTTGTTTCTTGTAGCACAAAATAAGCTAAATAACCCTACACCAGTCCTAAGGTTTGTGACTGTGACTTTATTCACCTCAGTATGTCAACTATGTCATACTATTGTGTCAAACCGACTTGTCATGCATGTCATTGTCACTGTTCGAGTCACTGCTAGTGCTGCAGAAGCTTCATGTCAGAAAGAAATATAATAAACCAAGGTAATAAGAGTTACCGATTCAAATGTGCGAAGTGGCAACGTATTTCTGGTTGTTTCTTGTAGCACATGGTGTCGCTAGCATAGTTTGAAGCTGTCTGACAATTCTGACATCAACTTCCTTTCTCATATCTACCTCTTTTTAACAGATGCGATGATAAAGGAAGAGGGGGCAGAGGATTTTTTATTTATTGTACAGTGTGGTTATTTTATCTTGATAACATTTTAAACTGTCATAATTTCTTTATTTTTAAAATTATTTAAATAAATAAAAAAATATACTGTAGGGTTGTTTTCCATGTTTTAGATAGGATGGACGAAAAACAAAAGACTAATATATTTTGACAGTTATGCACACAAACTGCATTTTTCTAAATGGAACACCTAGTAAACTTTCAGTTTGTCTGATAATATGTTTCATTCTGATTGCAATAATACAATACAATACAATACAATTGAATGCAATCTACTTCATATTTACATGCAGGAATGTTTTATTAATTCTCATTGAAAATATTATCCACCTATACAGATTACCTACAAAGGTAGGTAAGTAATCAATATTTTCAATGAGAATAAATGAAACATTTCTGCATGTAAATATGGAGTAAATTGCATTCAATTGTATAGTATTGTATATATTGTAATCAAAATGAAACATATTATCAAATAAACTGAAAATTTACTGGGTGTTCCATTTAAAAAAATGCAGTTTATATGCATAACTGTCAAAATATATTAGTCTTTTGTTTTTTGTCCATCCTATGTAAAACTTGGAAAAAAACCCTACAGTATGTTTTTTTATTTATTTGAATAACTTTAAAAATAAAGAAATTATGATTGTTTGAAATGTTATCAAGATAAAATGACCACACTGTACATTGAGATTTCCAACCTGAAAAACTCGCTGAAAAAAACACGACATTTTCATGACAGGTTCAATCATTTCAAAACTGATACAAATAAGTGAACCTAAATCTCAATTTATTAGTTGATTAAAAATACATGATTCTGGTAAGATTCACAATGTGAAAATGGCTCGGAAAATGGCTCAGTTTATGCATAAGTAATGATAATTATCAAATACTAACTTATTATTAGTAAACAGTGAGATGTTTTGGCTGTTTTTGCTTCTTTTTTTGTTGTTATCTTGCTGTATTTCTATGATTTAATTTTTATTATTTATTTATTTACGTTGTATACAGGGTGTCACGAAAGGTTTGTTACAAACTTCTAGGGATGGTAGATCTCGTAAAAATTAAACTTTTTTTTTAATAAACATGTGTCCGGAAATGCTTCATTTTCCAGATATACAGGGTGGCCCAAATTTGAGCCTCATCATTGGGATCTTGGTAACCCTAAGAGATACGGGGTCGGTTAAACTACGGCAAAGTTGCGCAATTTTATGACCAATAGAATACCGTTTTGAAACTAGAAAGATTCCGAATACTTCCGGAGATATTCGGATAAAACGAAAATTTTGTAAAATCGTTATTATTTTTTCCCGGGCTTATTTGAAAAGCAATTTTAAAATAAATGTCACTTCATTATTGTCAGTTTTTCTCCTTTAGAAGATGGTGCTACTAAATTTAAAATTCAACGTTTCGTCTTCAGGCGGCCAGCCTCTTCTTTTTTTTAAATACGGACCTGGATTTTTTTATTTGCGATTTTGTCATCTTTGCGCATCCTAAAACCGATACTGTTTATAATTTTTCAATAACACAGCAAAAAAAGCAGGTCCGTATTTAAAAATAAATTAATGATGATTTCAGAGGAACGAAACATTAGATTTTAAATTTAATACCGCCATCTTGTAGAGAAGAAGTGACAATGGCAAGGTGAAATCAGTTTTCCACAATCTTTTTAAATAAAATCAGGAAAAAATGAAAACTATACGAAAAAAACATGAATTTCTCGTTTTTCTTAAATTTTTTCCTGATTTCATTTAAAAAGATTTTGAAAAACTAATTTCACATTCCCATTGTCACTTTCTCTTCTTTACAAGATGGCAGTATAAAATTTGAAATCCGACGTTTTTCAAATACGGACCTGCTTTTTTACCGTGTTATTGAAAAATTATAAACAGTATCGGTTTTAGGATGCCCAAAGATGACAAAATCGCAAATAAGAAATCTAGGTTCGTATTTAAAAAACGTAAGTCAAGGATGGCCGCCTGAAGACGAAACGTCGAATTTTAAATTTGGTACCACCATCTTCTAAAGGGGAAGAAGTGACAATGATAAAGTGACATTTATTTTAAAATTGCTTTTCAAATAAGCCCGGGAAAAAAAAAAAACGATTTTTCAAAATTTAGTTTTTTTCCGAATATCTCCGGAAGTATTCGGAATCTTTCTAGTTTCAAAGCTGTATTCTATTGGTCATAAAATTGCGCAACTTTGCCATAATTTAACCGACCCCGTATCTCTTATGGTTACCGAGATCCCAATGATGAGGCTCAAATTTAGGCCACCCTGTATATCTGGAAAACGAAGCATTTCCAAACACATGTTTATCAAGAAAAAAGTTTTATTTTTACGAGATCTACCATCCCTAGAAGTTTGTAACAAACCTTTCGTGACACCCTGTATGTACCATCGTCACCAAAAGTAACTGGGACAGCATCCTATTAGCTCTTGTACTATTATATGAATTTTATTGTCAAATATTTGTCAAACTATGGATTAAAAGAATTGAAATGAATGACGTTAGAATTAGTCCAGGAGATTATTATGCATTATTTTTGTCCCAGATACTTTTGGTGAGGATGGTACATGTATTTTGTTTGTATAAGTTATCTTCTTTGTTAATTGTCAAAGATCAAACTATATGGATTTATTAATGGGCATTTTTTTTTATTTGTTCTTGTTTTCGGGCCAGCGTTTTTCCGCAATTTTTTTTCTATCGACTGCAGAAAAACGCTGGGCCAGATTTCTACCTTAAAAAAAAACTATAATTTAAAAGTTCAAAAAGCCCGCCAAATGTTATTTAAGTTGGTCTTGTAGTGGACGGTGGCGCTAGTATCGATCTGAGGTCATGGCGTTGCCAGTGTCATACCACAGAATCTGTAACTCTCACCTTGGTTTATTATATTTCTCTATGCTTCATGTCTAATAATCGCTTTTTGTGTTATGTGTATCTTGTCTGATTATTATAAACCGAGTTATAAACAATAGTCTGATAGTATTATTAAGGAATGATTAGTCAGTATTGTTTGTATTTGTAATTAGTGGTACTTATTGTGAAGAGTGAAGGTCTAGAAAAGGTATGTAAAATTGTAAATATTATGTGACTTTATTTTTTTAGGTGCCAGGAGATTTGAGCTAAGTCCACATAATCGCGAATTCGGAACTTTTTTTCTGCGGACTTGTTCCTATTATTGGTCAAAATGATATGACATTATAATGGCGGGAAAATCTCGCCGATGATCTCAAGTTCTTGCAGCATCGCAAAAAAGTTAAAATAATTTAACTTTTTGGTGAATAAACTAGCATAACCCCACTTCTTACCAGATTATTCGTCAAAAAGTTAAATTATTTTAACTTTTTTGCGATGCCGCCAAGAAGTTGAAAACATTCACAAGATTTTCCCGCCATTATAATTTCAAATAATTTGGACCAATAGGAACAATTCTGCAGAAAAAAAGTTGTCTATTTGCGATTATGAAGACTTAGCTTAAGTGTTGCTTCTTTCATTTAGTTTATACACTTTAGTCTTTTAATCCCCAGGATTAAATTTCACTTTATTTCCCGGGGTTTAAATTTTACTTTATTTCCACGGGATTAAATGAAACAGGGATTAAAAGTACCAATTTATTCCCTGTTTTATTTAATCCCTGGGAAATGAGGCAAAGTGCAAAAAATAGTTTATACACCTCAGGACTAAAGTGTTTTTTAATTTCTCAAAAAATTATAAACTTTTTGTCTCGGGATTAAAAGTACCACTTTAGTCCCTAGGTATATAATGTACTATTACGTTGATGAGGCACAATAAATAATGTGAATCTTACCTAAACTGAATTAAATTAATTAAAATTAAATAAATTTTTTATCAGCAAATGTTAACAAGAATTTCAAAATTTCACTTTTATCAACATTTAAATAAAGCAGACCCATGATCGTCATGAAATGGTTTTTTTTAAAATTATTCTTATGAGAGGAAAAGAATTTTGAAATGTTTTGGTAGAGCACACTTTGTATAGCTCTTGTAGCTTCTAATTTTCCCTATAACCAGTACTGTAGCGTAGCTATCAAGATGAATATTTTCTGTATCTATGATTATGAAATATGATAATGAGGAGTAAGTTAACCCCAATCTCCTAGCTCAGGCAAGGGACTTTGGTAATTAAAATATAGATTGACTCACCGATAACGCCATACAATCCACGATCTTTTTTGAAATACTCTTATCCGTTCCTTGAACATTATTAAATATTCCCAGCATAAATCCATCTTTTTGTAGGCACAATCTGCAAATCATGGTATAACTTCTCCAGGCATCATTTGCATTTGCCTGCATGGCTTTTGCTTGCAAGAGAGAATTTTCATCCTCCACGTTCATCGTGTGGTTATGATTTTTTTAATTTAATTTTTGTTGGCCGTTCGAAGCATTTCCTTCCAAATGTTATCAACAACAATGGCACTTTTGTGACAGGATAAAAAGTAAAATGTCGGAAAGGGAAGCTCGTAGCAACGGCTGCTATCAGGTGTGACTGGTGCTGGTGTGGACGGGGGGCGGCGTCTCTAGAGCTCAGACTTGCGCTGTAACGTGGGCCCCTTGCCGAAAATTTATAAAATCCTATAGATTCCATTTTGTAGTATCCCTTTTTAGTTTATATCACTAATTAATTTATGAAATAAACATTTTAATTTATTCCATTTTCCAACACCTTCCACTTTTCACTCCTTTAATTTGTTTTGGAAATAGATGGACGACATTTTTAAAAGGCCCGCCTAAATGGCTGGCAGGTGACACGATTTGGCACTACTAAGCGTTTTCTTTTACGATGTCATAAAATTATTTCATTTTTTATTCGATACGAAATGAATTATCGATTGGATAATTTATGTGGCAAAAACAATCTGGACATCGAATTTGAGTGGCATTCAATTGTATTCGTTAATATATCACTCATAGATTCACTTTAGGCGTTTTCTCACGTCTCAAATGTTCCAAAACATTTTTCAAAATTGGTTGAGTAGTGTCACCATGACGTCATAAATTCTTGGCCCGAGAAAATGGTTTGAAAACGTCGATTGGATTGCATTGCGAAACGGTTTAAACCAATTTTGACGTGACGTCATGAGTTTATCGCGAGAATTCAGAACAGTTTTGAACCAGTTTCAAAAAGTGGACACGAGAAAGCGCCTTTGATTTATTGAAATATGTACTACCAAATAAAACGGAAAGTAATAAAGGAAAAGAAACCAATAAAGGTTCGGCTTGCTCACTCTGTCCACTCCAAGTACTCCGTTCGGGTATGATATTTAAACGTAAATACTCTAACCAAGGATATTACACTACTACAGGATTGTTCACGGTCTTCGATTATTTTTGGAATCAAGGTCATATGGTGTTGCGTCAATGATGACGTCATCGGTGTCGTGAGTCGTTAGCTCAATTAGGGCCGATTTCTCAATAGCAAGTCACCGCCGGGTGAAGCATAACTCCAGAGCTGCTTTCGGGTGTCACCCTTTGAGCGCTCCCGAGTTACTCCGAAGTACTCCAGCTACAGTGTGACCCGTTCGCTTTCAAACGTTCGAATGCAAAACGTATGGAGTATGACAGGTGTGAAGTGTTCTAGGTCCTTCGACCGCACCCGAAAGCGGCTCAGGGTAAGCATACCAACTGGACACGCTTACCCTGGAGTTAAAACCATTCAGGTGACTCGCTCTTGTGAAACCGGCCGGGCCCTTAGCTGTTTCCACCAGCAAACGAGATCTAAAAAAAGGTTGTTTTATGGTCGTTTCCACCAACTAATTTAGGGAAGCCTTAACGATAAGTATTCCCTAAACTGACATTTCTAGGGTTGCCAGATTTCCAAAATTGAAAAGCGGGAGGTAAAGTCTGTTTTTTTTTAAAGATAATTCACCAAGTCAAAAATTTAGTAACTATGTTGGCAATACACAAGGAGAATACACACTCTAAGGAGTGCTTATCGGCCTCGTTCTTGGTAATCGCCGCCGTATTGGTTTTCAACTGTTTTCAACCATTGCCGACGTCATAACCAATGAACTATAGCTAAAAACTGGAATGCGCACACATTGCCATATCTGCCAAAAAAATGTAGCCATGAAAGATAGATGCCACAAAGGGGAATGTTGTTTTTTTCTGTTGCTTGCTGACATATGACGTTTTCGAAAGTTTTGTCACATTTCCGTTCACAGGTTTCATCAATTGGAATACGTGTTGGAAGCAATTTTCGCCATTTAACATAATGAGTGCGACAAAAACAGGTATCCCCTCCGCAGCAGCCGCACTAGGCTTCAAGTTCGTCCTTATAGCATTCTAGTTTTTGGTTATAGTTCATTGGTCATAACTAATGCGTCAGCTGTTTAAAGAGTCTACGTCAATTAACTGTAACCAAAAACTGGAATGCGAACACATATTGACGAACGTGAAGCCTAGTGCCGCTGCTGCGGAGGGGATACCTGTTTTTGTCGCACTCATTATGTTAAATGGCGGAAATTGCTTCCAATACGTATTCCAATTGATGAAACCTGTCAAGGTAAATATGACAAAACTTTTCAAAACGTCATATGTCAGCGAGCAACAGAAAAAAACAACATTCCCCTTTGTGGCATCTATCTTTCATGGCTACATTTTTTTGGTAGATATGGCAATGTGTGCGCATTCCAGTTTTTGACTATAGTTCATTGGTCTACGTCATGGCGAGAAACGTCATGTTGTTTACGTCACAACTGGCTGTTTGGCGTAGGGGAAGGGGGGGGAATTGTTACACACAGGCCTTATGAGGATAAGCCATCCTGTAGTAGTAGTGTGTATCATCCTTAGGCAATACAAGCCTTTTCTACATTAAAAATTTCAAAGCCTTGACAATTTTACATTATATTGCCAACATAATGTCATTTTGACTTTTATCTTTAAAAAAAAACACACTTTAATGGGGTAGTATACAAGTGATTTTTAACTACTGCGTAATGATATACTCAACGTATCGTACTATTTAGTGTAATCAGTTGCTTTGTAAAAACCGCAATAGCCTGGAATTAAATTTTCTAAATTTCCTCTTAGCCCCGCCCCCACGTGAAAATAAAAGTTCGTGACGTAGTTAGTTTTTCCAATCTGGCAACACATCACAGTTTTGAGAACGTACAATTTGCACTATTGACCGTCAAGAACGAAACATCAAATTTACTATATCAAACAACGTAAGCAAGTCTGCGACAATGTCACATGTCATACGATTCACATGACACCGCACGTCGTTGAACTGTTGAAGTCAGCTGTCATTTTGAGGCATTTTGAGCAGCGTTGCCAGATGGTCAGCGGCTTGAATACTATTGGTCGCCGCTGTGGCGCTAAATTCAAATTACAGTTTGTTTTTCTCTGACTAATTCTATAGACACTATGCTGGAAAATAACTTAGTATCCCACTATACCATCACCATTTAGCCTATAGAATAATTTCGGGCAGTTTTTTTATTGATTTTTATACATAGTATATACTACGTACCCCATTGGGTCGAATGGGGAAAAAAAAAATTGTTGAGGTGCCACGCCCTAATTTTATCACATTTTATCACATACTATACAGAGTGTACGAAAAGTAACGGGACGATCCATTATTTCTGAAACCAGTAGCTAGTGGTGCAGTGCAATTTGAACAAAATCTTATCAATTCAAAAATTGTATCGACGTTGTTGCCAGACTTACCAATAATAAACTGTTAGACAACTGCTTTCGAGGCTCGAGCAAGAAAATTTTTTCATCTAACTTTCAAGCTGAATATTTTTGGGACCATACCAGATATCGCCCTCCGGTATTCACGGGCCGACAGATTGACTTTTTGTGAAAAAAATTGCTACACGGAAACCAGAGTCAATATTTTGGTTCCAAACATATCGAGCTTGAAAGTTAGGCGAAATTTTCCTTTTGCTCGAAAGCAATGCTCCAGTAAGTTTTGTTATTACAAGAGGAACTGGACTAGACAACTTATACTTGGACCAAGTAAATTGGCAGCCAGCCTACTTACTTGGATGTTAGGTTAGGACCTATTCTGGACTTGGATGGATAAACAGTTAATACAATCCAAGTATCGTCCAAGTGAGACGTGCGCAGCGTCCAAGACTCCAAGTGGTGTCAACCGAACCTGGCTTAAATAAAGTGGAGCTTGGCAGATAATTTTTGGAACTCAAAGTCCCCTTATAATCGACAACGCCAGTATGTTGCCAGATGACCAGAACCAAATTATGGTACAATGCTGAAAAATTATCGTTTTTTGCATGATTTTATCGTACAAAACTGACTTTACCAGTATGACGTCAACGGAGGCTGGTGGCCCCCTAAATTGAAGGGTTTAAGTTGCATTTGCAAAATAATTTCATTAAAAAAACATTTAGAAAAAAAAAATAAGAAAAAAACTACTCATTTCATCTGTTATCCCCTACTTCTTGCAATACTTCAGGCACTGGAAAAAAGATCGAGCTGGTATTTCAATTTTCAATGGACCTCCAGCGATTTCAGTGTATCTTTTTCAAAATTTATCAACATTCAGAAATTATCGTACATTTATCCATTATCGATCGTACATCGTACCTTCTTGTAATTATCGTACAAATACGATAATTATCGTACGTCTGGCAACACTGGTCAACGTCACAATCTAAATACATTCAGTTCAGATTAGATGCCTAAGCTCTCAGGCTTGAGTAAATCTATCTTCGTTTGGTATTGGAGATAAATAGAGATGCAATAAGCTCCCCATTTGCGTTGGGTTGCCAGATTTATAATGAAGTATTAAAATTATGGTAAAAATAAATAAGGGCACCTGATTCGGAATTATATTTCATGTAATTTCTGTTTTTGAGGAAAGCGGGAGTTTTGTTTAAGTGTGCTCTCGCCTAAATCGGGAGGGTTGGCAACCCTAGACATTTCTCCATGGAAAACTGTAAGTGTGCTGTCAGTTTAGGGAATACTTATCGTTAAGGCTTCCCTGAAATAGTTGGTAGAGAAACCAAGAATCGGGTAGAAACGACCATAAGAATCTTAATTAATGTAATAGAACCAAGTATGCATAAAGCGAAAGCCAGTGGAATCATAGCCTGTAGTGCAAACTACTGCAAACACCCCCCTTCGTCAAGGCGAGAAACGACACGCTGTTTATGTCATCACTAATACTTTGGCGTGGATGAAGATAGGTTTTCCTGTGTGGTTTGTAATATCCTTGATTATTCCACTCATGGTTAGAAATCCCATAAGACAAGTGACGATTTTCAGAATTACAGCGAAAATTCTCTTCTCCATTTGTTTAACTAGAGAGAATTACAGCGATAATTCTCCCATGTTATTGTATATTGTATACATGGTTATGCTAATTTTTGATACAAACAAACGGTTCCTGATATAGCAACCATTTATTTGTATTGATTGTTAAGATGTTCAAATCGTTTAATACATATTTATTTCCATATTTTTTTCATTCTCATACGTGAAATAATCCTCTAAATACATACCACTTGAGCTTTAAAATGAACCAGATAATTTTTCACTCATGCGTGTTTTCTCTGCAAATTTCACTCGTCCTAAAACACGCAATCGTGAAAAATTATCGGTAATTTTGAAGCTCTCGTGGTATTATCCCCGAAAGTAACTAGGTGCACGTTGGGCTTGAAGGAAAATAACAAAAATTTTTTTTTAATAGCGCTTTCCGACTTTTGCCTCCTAAATGCACCCGATTGATCAAAAAGATCCGAAACGGATTCGGTGTTCGATTTGAGCAAAAG